TGACCTCGGATAGAAAGGGGTGCAATCTGTAAACTGTACTAACTTACAACGAACCAATGGCATGAATTTCATGAGAAATTCCGCAAATGAATATCACACATAAACTAAAACAAAAATCATAAAAAAAACCAGGCTTATAATTTGGAACTCCTCGGGGACGAAACGTTCACTTGTAGTAGTATCGATCCAGTGGTTGTAAAAACTCATACCAGGCTTATAATTTAGGACGCAGACGCACATTTCGTTTACATAACACTCATCAGTGACACTCGAACCAGTAGAAAGGCTTAAGCCCGTACTTTTGCGCAACAAAATTTTATGTCAATTTTAATCAAGTTTCAAAGAGTTCTGTCATTTTAAAACTGTGTTTTTAATTGAATTTATACTTAATTACTCTAATTTTTATATTTTTTTCAGAAATTTCAGTATGTTAATGAGTGAACGTTATGGAATGTGCTACACCGTGGACAATAGCAAAATGGTCATACAAAATCCGGGGCCAGACCACGGTATTATAATTTATCGTCGTTTCTTTTAATTCTTGTATTTAGACAGGTTTTTTTTTCTTATTCCTTTATCAAAGAATGATCTTAATCACATATTGAGTTATTTTGAAATTGAAGATTTATTTCTGATAAACATTTGTTTCCAAACATAGTTGTATGTGACGTTTTCCTTTGTTTCATATTTATTATAGACTAAAGTAATACAATTTTTGGTGAGAAAATAAATTTCAAAATTTATTGCCGTAAAAGGGTACTTTACAAGCAAATCTTTTATATTGACAGGCCTTTCGAGGATCTTATTTACAAACAATGAAGAATATTTATCGGGAATAACTCAAGGATATGGCGCCAGGCTTGTCCTACATGGTCAAAATGAATTTCCCCTACCAAGAGAAAACGGGATTTTTATTTCATCTTTCTCTGAAACAGACATTGGACTTAATCTGGTAAAAAATATATATATAATTGAAAGCAATTAAATATTTGCTTTTAAGGACATACTCGATCAAAGTGATGATTAAGTCAACATTCAAAACGTTAACAATGTTGCTATGAAATAGTTAAAAAATATATATATAAAACTATCCTTACTCTAAAAAAAATGTGTGTGAATCGTCGATCATTTGCATGTTACGTTCGTCTCTTAACATGTAATGTAATGTTATGTTATGAAATTTCTGAGATACACATGAGGAAAAAATGGTTTATTAATTAGTTGAAATTGGGCTTTGAACTAGCTTTCGGTAACTGCGAGTACTAAAGGCCGGAAAATTGTGTCTTACCAACTGATTTATCATTTTGGTCTTATATGCTGTGTTGTTACCTCATTCTGTCAGAGTAAAAATATTAACAAAAAAACAAACAAACTCCAAGGTAAATTCAAAAAGTGTAAGTCCATTAAAACTGACAAAATCAAACGTTAGACTTTATCAACCAACGGAAAGAATAGAAAACAACTGCCATATTCCTGACTTGGTACAGACATTTCCCGAAGAAAATGGTAGAAAGTAAAATAATATAAATACCGAACTCCAAGGAAAATTCAAAACGGAAAGTCCCTTATCAAATGGAAAAATCAAAAGCTCAAACAAATCAAGCGAATAGAAAAAAACTGTCATATACCTGACTTGGTTTTATAGCTAGCTAAAACTCTCACTTGTATGACAGTCGCATAAAATTCCATTATATTGACAATGTGTGAACAAAACAAACAGACAAAATTGGAAAAAATGTCAAAAATAGGGGTACAGCAGTCAACATAGTGTTATAATATTAACCACTATAAAAACAAACAAATATGTATACAAAGAAAACAAAATGCAATATAGACAAAGCACATAAGCAAAATGAAAGACAAGAATACAAAAAATGACCATAGTACCGAGCCACGCAAAAAGGATATTACCAAAAATGGTCTAAACAGTAATGGTTAATAATTTACAAAGACAAATAAAAGAACACTATAACACATAACCTTCTAGGTACACCTCCCACTTCTACGTAAATAAGGATGGTTGAGCGATCACAAACAAGTTTAACCCTGTCCCTTCTATATTTGCTTGTTCCAAGCCCGCCGCTTGTTTTTCGTTGTCTGTCATAACTGTTTTTCGTTTTCTGTCATAACTGTTTCCATTTTAAGGTTGTAGTAAAAAGTTATGCCGTTGTTGTTTTTTTTTCTTTTCTTGAGTTGTTCACACTTATAATATACGGTGTATGTTTTATTCGTTGTTGTCGGTTTTACGGTTTACCTGTAATTGATCTTTTTCTTTTGGATTTTAGATTTTATAGTTGTCACATTGGCTTCATAATTCCACATCACTTTATTTGTTTATGCATAAAATGCCTTCTTATCTTCCAGATGAAAATATCCCGACTAAATGGGTCTTATGGTGACTGCAATAACGGTGTTCATTTTTTCAAGACACATGAGAAACAGTACACAAGACAGGTAATACATTAATTAGATATAAGAAGATGTGGTGTGAGTGCCAATGAGACAACTCTCCATCCAAGTCACAATTTGTAAAAGTAAACCATTATAGGTCAAAGTACGGCCTTCAACACGGAGCTTTGGCTCACACCGAACAACAATCTATAAAAGGCCCCAAAAATGACAAGTGTAAAACCATTCAAACAGGAAAACCAACGGTCTAATCTATATAAAAAAACGAGAAACAAGAAACATTTATGAACCACATCAACAAACGACAACCACTAAACACCAGGTTCCTGACTTAGAACAGGTGCAAACAAATGCAGCGGGTTTAAACGTTTTAATAGGCGCCAATCTGCACCCTAACCTGAAAAAATAGTGTTACATCACAACATAAAAAGATACACTATAAAATATCAATTGAAATGGCTTAACTCAATCAGAAGACATATTAACAAAAACAATTGAACATACACTGAACGAATAAATTTGATCTATGACACATAGTAAATACAAAATTAATAAAAAGGGTGGTTAGATGTAAAACAATATCAGAAAGAAAACCATAACCTTGGACAAAATGCCGCCAAATAAAATAACGTACACAGGTAAAAAAAATAATTTTGTTGTAAGGTATACATGGAGTACGAAAATATATTTTACAAAATGCATAATTTTGTTGTTCATAGTACTAGAACAGAAGTGAAAATTTATCGTAACCAACAAAAAGAAAACATACTGTTGTTCGTGCACTAGCGATGATTTAGCTACTAACCCTTAAACAAGATTAACTCAATGAGAAATGTGAAAATATAGTCGAAAAAAAGAAATAATGAGAGTTGTCCAATCTGATTAGAATACAGATATTGTGTCTACACTTCGCTCAAAAGGATTTGAAATGCTTCTATTTACTTTCAGTTTTGTCGTCATGTGTTATAGAATTACATGATTGCTTGATTTGCCTACAATTAATGTATAGGAAAAATTTAGACTGTAGTCTTATAACAATGGTTTTGATTCTGTCTAGATAGATTGAGCGTTGATCGTATTCATTTTTAAACAAACATAAATATTACGTACACATTCAAAACTTGAATTGTTTCAGTAATGGACTAATAATTGTGATAATTAAATCCATAACTGAAACAATTCAAGTCAGATTTATGCAAATGTTTCTACATGTTTACAGGCATGTTTAATTGTGTGCGAACAAAGCAAGATATTGAACACATGTGGATGTTACAAGAAAAACTTTGAAGACTTCTTCTACTCAATGAATACATCATATCGGACATGTACATCTGAACAAGGTATTCCAATTAAAAATAATAAATATCATGTCTACTTATGTTATGAGAAAAAATATAGAGGCGATAGATACCAGGAATATACAAACTCATAAGTCGAAAACAAACTGACAACGCCATGATAAAAAACAAAAAAAAGACGAAAAAACATACAACAGTACACAAAACACAACATAGAAAACTAAGACTGAGCAACATGAACAAACCGAAAAACCGGGGGGTGATCTCGGGGGTCCGAAACAATTGTGATATATAATTGAAATTAATTTCAACCGGGTTAAAACGGCAAAAGACTCTTCCTTAGAATTGCCATAAAAGGGCATTAGCTGTCAAATTCATGTCCACCGATTTGACTTCAATTCTCATATTTGATTTATAACATACTCTAAAATAAACAATTAACAATGCATGGACTCGATAATATGTATCAGCATTTCGGGTGTATATTAGGCTATACGCCATCTAATTAACCATCGAGATGACCATCGAAGACTGCCGACGGTCATTTAACCCGATATAAACATAAATAGAAATAGAAAACAGAAAGAGAGCACATGCAATTGAAATTCTCTAGGTCTGTTTGATTTCATGTTATAGGTTAAACAAATATGTAAATCATCGTTTTACCTGTATAAGAATGATTTTTTGTGGATCGAATCAGTCAACCAAATGGTTTACCCTTGTTTTACTTTCAATGTTGACATCATTTTTCCTTTAATAGCTTAACACGACTAGTACATGCGTAGCCCATCTCCAGCTAAGGGGTTAAATTGATGGTCACATGCATACAGATTCAGTGAGGTTAAATTATTGACTTACAAGTCAATCATACATTAGTAATGTTTTTGAGCTTATTTTGACAAGTTTGATCAAGACTGGCTGCCTAATTCCGGTTATATTAAAACTTGAAATAAAATGAATTGTATTTTTGTCTAAATCATCGCTAATGCCCCTTTAATTTCCTAGAATCAATTTCGGTTTAAACAGGCATTTAACAATAGTAAAATATAACTGATCACATGTAATTAAAATTTTTAAACACATTTCTAGGCTTAGCTATACAATTGAAATGTTGATTCAAAAAATTGTCAAAATGTTTAAATCCTTTGTAAAGTAAAATAGTTCAAGCCATAGATTACCTTTGTGAATTTTCACGGTGAAATATACTTGGCGCCAGTTTTTATCCTCCTTTCTCCAATCGCTAAATACGTTTATGCAGTGAGGTAATAAAGTTTCTTTTTGTATTTCAGACTATTCTTGTATGAAAAAAATGGAGAAGATAATGGAACAGAAAAAGTCTGATGACTTTTCTTCTTGTAATTGTGTAAACCCATGCGAGTAAGTTTTATTCTTTTGGTAACTTATATATCAGCGAGTCCTTTTTATCTTTTGTTGATTCAATCCCAATCGAATTAGCGATATTCCTCCTGTTATTAACTGTGTGAATTCTCACTAGTAAAGAGTATTTTCTCGAAATTGCATATTCGGACATTAAGGACTATAGGTGTCGTAATTATGTAAACTCATGTTTTTAAGTTCTGTTCTTCGTATAATTTTGGAAACCAATTCGACTAAGTACTTATGTTTTAATTATTGTATAAACCAATGCGAGTTAAAGCTTTTCTCATTGTAAAAATAGGAAAATATGGTATGATTGCCAATGAAACAACTCTTCACCAAAGACCATTTTCTCATTGTAAGAATTGGAAAAATGGTATGATTGCCAATAAAACAACTCTTCACCAAAGACCAAATGACATAGAAGTTAACAACTATAGGTCACCACACGGTCTTCAACAACGAGCAACATCCATACCACATAGTAAGCTATAAAAAACGAAATGGCAAATGTAAAACAATTCAAACGAGAACACTAACGGCCTTATTCATGTACAAAACATAATATGGTTTCTTATTTCCAATCTGATGCAGTAGAAGCTAGGAAGATAATTAAAGTAAAAAAGTCAGGTGAATATTTGTTTCTTTTTCTGGTTTTTTTTTCTCAGGCAGAGTATCAAATATCAGAACACAACTGTCCAACAAAAGTCTTGCGAAGTTACTAATTTTATTCTTACCACTTTCACGCATAGAGAGTAATTCATTTCTTTTCTGACCTGACTATTGTTACTTAAATGTAACTACCGTATAATTTCGTACATAAATCTTTCATCGTCCGTGATCTGAAATATAGTTAGTTATAAACCTATAACGGTTTACTTTTATAAATTTTGACTTGGATGGAGAGTTGTCTCATTGGCACTCATACCACATCTTCTTATATCTGTTAGGTACAAATATACGATTATCTTTAACTAATATCTAAACGTCTGCATTTTATGCTTTACTTTTCAGGAATTCGCCCGTCCTCAAATTTACGATAGAAGCATTCGAAGATTGCTTCACTCCAAGACATGTCTTACAAAAATCAAACTTGCACTTTTAATCCCAAAATTTTACAAACACAATTTAATATACTAACTATCATCAACTGGGAATGATCACATAACAGCAAGAGAGCATGCGCGATCCGATGACCGTTTCTGGAAATCGAAATCAACACAAACATCAATTTGTCTACACAAATGTCCCCATCAAATACTGATAAGAGATAAATACTAAGAAGATGAAATAAAGTCGTATCGAAGGTCAAATATTTCCACACAACAAAAAAGCATAACAAAAATAACGCACTGCAAGGCAAATTCAAAAAGGGGAAGTCAATAAAAACTGACAAAATCGAACGCTATCAACCAACGAAACAAATGAAAAACATCAGCCATATTCTTGACTTGGTACAGGCATTTTCAGAAGAAAATCGTAGGTCCTGATTTTTATAGCTAGCCAAACCTCCCACTTGTATGACATTGGACAAATGGAATATTCGTCAATGTCGATTTTTTTAAAAATGATATAATACAAAGTATTATAAAAATGTAGTATTTCATATAATTTCCATTAATTGTTTTAGGATAATGTGAATTGTCTATATATTTTCAATGTTTCTATGTAGAGAGGACCAGTACCATATCACATCAAGTTCTCGTCAATGGCCAACAAAAAGTTACGCCGTAAGTGTAATGAAATATCAATTTATTGATTCAAGAAAAAACTCCTATTTTTATAACGTTTAAATATAGCATAACTGTTATTTTTAAAAGAAAAAAGTTATGATACAATCAAAATCATTAATTTAACAAAGACAGAAGACGCTTAGTCCCTAATCCCCTCCTCCCCCCAAAAGAAAAGCCCTCTTAAAATGAAAACAATAGTACACAAAATTATACATAAATTGAGCTGCGCTGAAATGTGGAAAGGGATGATTAGCTCATGTGATACAAAAGGATACGAAGAAAGAAGTCCCTACCTCTAGTTGCCTACGTTGTGTAGATAATGTTAGATGAAAAAATACATGCTGCACGACGAAGGAAAGATGACCAAGCAAGTTGTATCAAGTTGATGTCAAGAAAATTATGTTTTATATGTATGCTGGTGATCAAGGTATATTGCTACAAATAAGCAGAAAGAGAACAATGATAAAACATGTAATTATATATAATCATAGTGTCAACTATAAAATTTAAAATGTGTAGACTATTCTTTTTTTTTAAAGTTTAATGCGAAAGGCACCTATTGAATAACAGAAAAAGCCGAAAAGCGAAGGATGGAGCATTAATTATTTTGTACACCAATTTCCAATGTTCCGTTGTTTGATATGCTAGATTTTTGTATGTAACAGTTAAATCATTTAAGATAAGAAAACGACTTTATGTTACTATGTACGATTTCCATTATGTATGAATTTCAAGATTACAGAAAAACATAAAAAAAAAATAAGCTGCAATTAATCATCAGCTAGTTTTTGTGTATTATTCAATGGCTATAATCAGTTGTATTCACAAGTAAAAATCGGCAAGTCTAAGCATTGAAACTGTTCCTATTTGGCATGTAGATATCAAATAATGTTTAACTTTTCAGGTTTATCTGAGGGAAAGCATTTGTGCGGCCTTGTCTCCCAGTACATGTGAACATTTGAGAAGTCTAGATATGTTCACCCTTGGGTAAATACAAACAACCAAACTAAGTGTCAAACTACATATATTATTAACAGTTTTATAGAAAATCTCTTTGAGTTGTGTTTCTTGCTTTTTCATGTTAAAAGCATACAGAAAATTCGTTTATTGGCGGTTTCTCCTTCAGTAAAAGAGAGGCGAAAGATACCAGAGGGACACCCAAACTCATAATCGAAAATAAACTGACAACGTCATGGCTAAAAAAGAAAAGAAAAAGACCAACAGACAAACAAAAGTACACAAAACACAACATAGAAAACTTAAGACTGAGCAACACGGACCCCACCAAAAACTTGGGTGATCTCAAGTGCTCCGGAAGGGTAGGCAGATCCTGCTCCACATGTGGCGATGTGAAATATTTAAACTTTGCATTTAAAAACATAATTCTAAAGGATTTCATATTTACATTATTATATATACAGTGTTATATTTCGTTATGTCATTACAAATATCTTCAGATTACTTAATACAAGTACTTCCAAGAATGAATATCAGGGATTATTACTAAGAAAATTAAAAGACAGAAGACAGAACAACAAAAAATGCAATTAATGAAATAATAAACATAAATTTCATGCATCCGAAGATCTATGTTAAGTTCCAAGAGGAACCCTCAGACCAAGCGATTTTAAGTCCAATGATATATATAAATACTACAACACTTAAAAAACTGTATGACAAAACGGTACATAAAAACAATAGCTAAATGAACCTGGGGTCAGTTTTGCGTGCGGGAGTTGGAACCTTAGTTCCTAAATAATGTCTTAATTCATCAACGGAGAATTTAAAAAAAATAACAGTATTCTACCTGCCATTGTTAATGTCCGGATAACTGAAAATTGTAGATATTAAAAAACTAACCTATAATATTTTTTCAAGGTATAATTTCATCAAGATAAACATTTATTTCGAAGACTTAAACTATGAATACATCAAGGAGAAACCAGAAATTGAGGTAATTTAAGGCAACAGTAGTTTGTAGATGTTAAAATCTCATAAATCCAATAAAAAGACAAATCACGATTACAAACAAATTCAAAACGATTCGCATGAACTTCAAAAGGAGCGGGGCCGGGTACGTCGACAATGTAGGAGTCTCCTTTATTGCATGCAATACATGCCATGCGAGTTTACACTCAGTCAAAATGACCTTATTAAAGGGTCATTGTCTTCCTTTAGAATGTAAAACATCATAATGAATAATTCATTCTGTGCGTTCTATTATGATCACTCATGTTTTCGCTTGGTGAAGGTAACATGTATTAATGTGAATATTGTTAAAAAAATCAACCCGACGACATGGCTTGTTTTTGTCAAAAATCTATGCAAACAATTGTGATTAAAGTGTTAATTATCATGTTCTTGTCACTTGTTTAACTATTTCACAGCACATATTTCTCCGGTTTTTTTAAATGAATCTGGAGGGGGTCCTAGCTCTTTGTTGAACATAAAACATTCTTCATCATATCTATGTTATTTTTGTTTGTTTGTTACACTCAGCAATGTATTTTAGGAGTCTGCTTTTGCTTCCGACATTGGAGGAGCATTAGGACAATGGATTGGACTGTCATTTATTAGTGTTTTTGAAATTATTCAGCTAATGTTGGAAATATGTAGGGGTATTCATTGTTCGACCAACACGAAAGACATAATCGGCAAGCAATGATTTTTATTTCTTTCAACTCAGTATATGTTGAGTTTTCCTCGAAGAATGTTATGGTTATTGATTTTTTATGTATATATGAAAGAAGAATAAACACGGCATAATATGGGTTGTTTCTCACTTACTATGTCAACTGAAGATATAATTTTGAAAAATCTGAAGAAGAAAATCGAGGAAATTAAAACGATATAAAGGATGCACTTCTGTAAATAAAGACAATGCAATTTCCCATAGAAACCCCTTTTACGGCCAAAACTATGAAGTTTCGTAAAAAATATATCCTAGAATGGAATGTGTATATGCACTACTATTTTTTTTTCAAAGATGAAAACATAGGGCTGTGCGGTATATTTTCAACAGTTATATGTCTCGAACTTTTAAAATGTTTAAATTTACACTTAAATTCTGTGCTACCCATCCCTTCACTTTGAGTCTTCCTCAGAATTCAATTTAGCCGCTATCCATTTGTATTTATACTGATAACATTCTCAAGTTGTGTCTTTAGTAGATGAAGCATTACGGTCATATCTAGGAATCAGTAGGTAAACAAAATATCTATGAATATAAAATTTCTCCCCAAAAGAGGCGTGATTTGTGAAATAGCTGTATTTACAAGGACGTTCCTCTTGACCGGGTGTTTAAAAAAGAATGCCAATATGGAAAATACAAGAAGTGATGAAATTTCCCCGTTACATCAAAGGCCTAAATACTATATAATATGAATAAAAGGAGACGTTGGGTAAACATTAATGAGACAGCAATGATTCCTATTGTGTTATATGGCATGATGGCAATTATCAGATTACTTGGGGTTGAAAATAAAGGAGATCTGACGAGAATGCATTCACATACTTGTCCTTTGGTAGAACTACACAGTAAGTCAAAGTCGGAAAGTCTCAATGTCAATCATATCATTTCTCCATTTTTTTAAGACATGCAACACAAAGTTTACGTTTCATATGAAATTAAACTGAAGAATACCTATCTGTCAGTACCGCTTAAATGAAATAGAATTGAGGATGGAAACGGGAAATGTGTTAAAGAAACAACAACCCGACCAAAGAGCAGACAACAACCAAAGGCCACCAATGGGTCTTCAGCGCAGCGAGAAAATTCCCAGACCGGGTGCGAGCTTCAGCTGGCCCCTAAACAATAATGTATGCTAAATAAGCGAAATGGACGCCGAAGCAAATTTGTTTTATTTATTTCCAAACTAAATTTTAATCAAGTTTCCTATAAGTTGCTGTCACCGTCTGTTGTTGTTGTTTTAAATTAAACGAGTGTACAAAGGTCATGTTTCACTAGTATGGTAATTGGGTCAAAGAATTAAATATCATCAACCCGGTTTTACATTTACAAGATTTATTATTTTATTCCTAGTTAGAGTAAGATGAGACTTTGTCTATTCGTCAATAAAAAAAATAACCTAAAATCTAGTAGAAATATGATGCATGTTCGATACTACTATAATTATTATGTTTACTTTGAATGTGATATTTGTCTTAGCTAGCTCATAGATAAATCTTGTTTTTGGAACTCGTCAAGTTTGTTGCAGGTCTATTCTTGTTGACATAAGTTATGGCAACCAAATTCATTACCATTTTGTCGCTTCACTAAAGTCTGCACTTTCAATTTTTTTTTTGTAGTAACCCTTTAGCGTAAACTTAAATCAAGTTTCAAACATGTACTTTAGTTAGAATTTTTTGTACACGGACAGCTATTGAAAACTGAGAAAATTCCAAACGTATGCAAATCATCAAATGTAGCTATATTTGACACTTTCCCGTCTAATGCAACGATATCATACATGGTTCAAACATTACATTTAAAAAAAAAAGACTTCTCGGCACTAAATGCTTTTTAGACAATTTTCAAACCGAACATGGTTTCACTCATGTTTAAAAGAGAGGCGAAAGATACCAAAGGGACATTCAAACTCATTGGAACATATCTGTCGTCATCTGTGAAACCGATATTCCATAACGGTCAACCAACTCGTGATGACGTCCGTAAAATGTTCGAAGGAATGATTTCAACTTCACTACTTGAAACTCTTGGTTTAATAGCTTCCCTTTGAGATTCAACCCAATTTCAAGGAAATTATGATAGGAAACGTAAACTTTTAATTGTTTAGTTAGAGGACATCATGCCGGAAAGTGAAGTTAAATGATAATGCTAGCTTCTTTTATTCTTCCTAAGAAGCTCCTGTATGAAGACAGCCTTATATAAATAAATGCACAAGTCGGCAAGAAGAGGAGCACAGTTGGTTAACATGGGAATGCCGATTCTTTTTTGAAAAACACGTCCTCTAAACGTAAAAAAAATGTTGTCAATTAAGAAATCAAGCATCTTGATAATGTCACTTTCTGAGAAATTTTTGTTTAAATCTTCTGATTCACGCCGCCACTAGAATAGGTAGTTTCACAATAACTTTGAAGCCCTGCTTTGATTGCTGATAAAATTGATGTTAATAATTAAGAAAGAGGTTTCGTGGAGCACTTGGCAAGAAGCAGAACTATAAAGTTGTATATAGATATAGGAAGATGTGGTATGAGTGCCAATGAGACAACTCTCCATACAAGTTACAATTTATAAAAGTATGTCTATATAAAAATAAGGAGATGAGGTATTAGTGCCAATGAGACAACTCTCCACAAGAGACCAAATGATATATAAGTTAACAACTATAGGTCACCGTACGGCCTTCAGCAATGAGCAAAACCCATACCGCATAGTCAGCTATAAAAGGCTCCGAAATAACAAATGTAAAAAAAATTCAAACAAGAAAACTAACAGCCTGATTTATGTACAAAACAATGAACGACAAACAAATATGATATACAGCAACAAACGTCAACCACTGAGTTACAGGCTTCTGACTTGGGACAGGCACATACATAATGTGGCGGGGTTAAATTAGTTTGATGGCAAACAAACTATACAAATTAGTTGAAAAGTGCTTAACTCATCAGATCAATACAAAACAGAAGACATTTAACGAAAGCTCAGACCGAATGTGGCAGGGTATTTATTCATCCCACAACAAAAAAGGCACTCATTACAGATCTGAAAGTACTCATAGTTACTGACAGCTAGTTTAAAGCCAATAACAATTAATAAAAAAAATCATGTTTCTTAGACTAATTGTAAGGACATTTATGTAATTTAGATATCCAATACAGTGAAGGAAGATCCAGTTCTTCATCTTCGGTTGAAATTCATATTTAGTTGATACTTACTATTTGAAAATGTGCAAGAGGGTATATCAATTTTTGATTTCGCTTACTGGTTCTATGTTCGAATGAAAAGTATTCAATGGATATATAGAAATCCATTTTTATTGTATGGTAATTTTCATAATTAGAAAGTAGTGCTTTGAATTATAAGATAATATGCAATAAGTTTTTTATATTTTATATTTCACTTCGCAAGTCTATATTCCCGGATAGAAAAGGTACGATATATACATTGATAATGTCATCTTAGTTTTTAACCGCGGCATAGTAAATAACGTGACGACTTTACAATAGGGCTTGGGTTAACTGAACTCGATAGTGCTGTAGTTTGTTTGTTTGTCGATATTATTAATATTTTTTTGTAATGGAGAAGATATTTTGTTTGAAACGTATTGGCTACTATGCAGTATGATATGTAAAGAAAATGAATGATAAAATATTATATGCTCTAGTTCAAATTTTGAATAATTTCAATTGATTCAACAGTATATAAATAACGACAAGCAAAACTGACCAAAATATCTGTAAAATACATTAAAAAACTATAAACGAAACATCAGGGATAATTAATAATTATATAAAAGATTTATGTCATTCATAATGATTTATTGAACTATTCATATTTCGAATCCAGAGAAGCTGGTCCACCTATCTGAAAAGTAATATCCATTATTCTCTGAGATCCGAAGCCAGACCCTGTCCCCCTTTTGCATTGCAACAACTGCATTTTGGGTAGATGGTTGGTTAACGTCAGAATTGTGATCCCCAAATCCATGGTTTTTTACCCCTACTGGGTTACCATTTAGTACAATGACTGTTGGAAATCTATGGCCTATCTTTGTCAAAGTAGTCCAAGAAAAGAAGTATGTCCCTTTACGTTTGCTAGTAAACACTCCATTTGACGGATTATATCCATTTCCAACATTAGTAAGGACGGTCTCGAAGACCAAGGTGGAATGCCTTGATAGACTAGATGAGTTTTTCTCCAATCTGGCCAGAAATGCTGCCTTGTCATCTCCTGCAATAGACTTTTTTCAGCGCTTTTATAATTACACATGTATGATCAATTAAAATCTGGTCAAAAATACGTGACTATTCATTTCATATTATCAGGCTATAAAGTGGTCTGTTTTATAGAACACGTCTATTTCAATAATCCTTTTTGTTTAAAATTTGACTGAATATGTTTCATTATATATTTTTTGTTCCTCTTGGGTGATATTGCATGCTTATAATTTTTCTACTTGATCTTTAAAATAGATTTTGAATGTGGTTGCTACAAATGTGCTTACGCTGTAAATAAGATTTATTGAACAGGAAACACGACTACATACGAAAAACTACCTATTCCACGTTTTTGAGGAAAATTTTGAGTTCCTTAGGACAATTCTTTATTCATAAAACCTTACTAGGTTTAAAAAACTAGTAATAGAAAACGATATTAAAAAAAACAAGAGAACTCCTACGAATGTTATGTTTTGTCCTAATAACTTGGCAACTTAAGCGAAATTAAAAATTTCTACAAATTTTCACATCCCAGGAAACGATACTATACAGTAAAAAGAGTGTGTCAAACATAAAAGAACACATCGTAAGAAGACAATCATTTCTTTTGTATTAATTTAAGAAATGGTGCATACATCTATAACAAATCTAGCAAATAAATCGAACGGATAGTCTATGTTTTGTAACAAAATTGATACACTTGAGAGCGGAAATAAATTTCAAAAAATGTGTTGCACTTTACATTTAACGAAGATCAGTTCTATAATATTAAAAGACTATACAAAATGGAAGACAAGATCTTTTCTGCGACAAAATCAACAATTTGTTATTCATGAAATAGAACAAACAATATTGGTTTTAGAAA